CATTCGATTGTCTTCAATGTCAATCAGATCCATCTCATATTTAAAAGCGGTATTGTAATATATATATATATATATATATATATATATATATATATATATATATATATATATATATATATATATATATATAAAAGTCAACAACTTAGAGTAGACAGGCTGTTTATACTAGACGCAATCGTCAGGCCTGACGATTGCTTCTAGAAAGAAACACACTATCGCCTCTAAGTGTTGACTTCAACGTTTATTTTTATATTTACTCATGCTCTATCTCTGGCATTGAGCACTTTATCACATAAATATAGCACACCTTAAGAGTATATCTATCTATCTATCTATCTATCTATCTATCTATATATCTATATATATATATATATATATATATATAATAAGACCCACTTATTTCGTTGGGTGAAATAGATCTATACATATATATTTGGGGTAATTTGGGTTATTTTATATATATATATATATATATATATATATATATATATATATACAACAAAATCCAAAATTACCTAATATGGGTATAGATCTATTTCAGCCAACGCGAAACGTTGGACTTATTCAACCCTGCTAGATGGACTGTGATACAGAACCTGCCCATTTCGACACCTGCAAATGAGATATATTAACAAGATTAACAGTAAATAATATTTCTATAATTTATATTTAAAAGAAATATATATATATATATATATATATATATATATATATATATATATATATATATATATATATATATATATATATATATATATGCAGAATATTTTCATTCAAGCATGTTTGGTTAAATAATTTATTATTATGTCTTTTTATTTTAGGTTTAATCCTTTTTAAGTCCACGAATTAATTTCTTTTTGACTAGAGAATTGACCAAGAAAAATACTAAAATTTTCTTTCAAATAATTTTTATTTTCCCAAATCGTATGGAAAAGATTATGAATAAAATTTTCAGTCTAAAATACTAATCATTATGACATGTTTGGAAAATTTGAAAGAAAACAGAAAATATGTACCTATATTTTGATTAAAAAGTGCGCAAATTAGAAATTAATTATGATTAAGATTAAAATCTGAGGTACTACTTACATCATTTCATATAAGTTATTAGATTCGATTAAAGCGTTTTCGATCAGTCAGTATCTTTTAACGGACACATTAGCTGCACTAATCCGTGGGATTTATGTATATTTATTTATTTTCGTCTACCGGCTTGAATTTTCGAGAAATTAAAGAAAAATATGTGATCACCGGCGGGATTCGAACCTGTGTTCTCCTGCGCAGAGGAAACCATTGTTAGCTGCGACGCGGAGAGCACATTTTTTTTTTTTTTTTGCGATGATAGAAGTTAAGCAATCATTGTCATTACTTAGATGGGTGACCCCTTGGGTATAGCAAGTGGTTAAGTTAAAATGTGCGTATGTTGTAATAGATAATGGCTCGGAATTTTTAATCGGAGAGCCCAGTTCCAATTCAGTTCAGTTCGTTATTTTTTCAAAAAAAAAAAAAAAATAAATAAATAAATAAAAAACAAATTCTTACAATCTAAAAATATTTCCCGACATTAAATAATCTGCAAAAGGGTTGATAAAGCATAAAAAACAAATCAATCAATCAATCAAATACTGATTAGCTACACAGACATATCTTTTTTACATTCTCTGAAATATAAATTTATAGAAACTAGCATGGCTACAAAATGAGGGATCAGTTTACATATTGATTAAAAAATATAGATGCTAGGGATTCCCGTACATATTAGCCGCACTAATTGAGGGATCCCGGTACATATTAACCACACTAATCGAGGAATTCCGGTACATGTTAACCGCACTAATCGGGGGATACCGGTACATATTTTACCGCACTAGTCGAGGGATTCTGGTACATATTAACCATACTATATATATGTACTCTATATGTATGTATTCAATACAATATATACTCTTCTGCAATTTTTTTATCACGTAGACTAAGACAATGTGTGAAAATTTGATCAGCCCACTCAGGCACTAATGAGAGTCTTCAAAAATACGAGTTGCCCCCTCCGCTGACTGCAGAGACCTTTTGAAAACCTCCCCCAACTACCACATAGCAACAAATTTCTCCCATCGAATGCAGACGCCTGCAATTTTAACCGGAATCCCTCGATTAGTGCGGCTAACATCCCGGTACATGTTGGCCGCACTAATCGAGGGATGGAGGTACATATTAGCCTCGCTAATCGAGAGATTCAGGTACATATTAACCGCCCTAATCGAGTGATTCCGGTACATATTAGCCACACTAATCGACGGATCCAGATACATATTTAACTGCAAAATATTTATTTATTTTCGTCTACCGGCCTGAATATTCGAGAAATTAAAGAATTTCCTGTGCAGAGGGATACCGTCGTCTGATGCACCGCGAGGAGCACAAATTTTTTTCTTTCCGCTTTTTTTCTTAACCGAAGTTAAGCAAATTCGATCCAGATCATTAATTAGATGGGTGACCTCTTGGGAATACCAAGTGCTTTAAGCTAAAATGTGCGCATGGTGTAATAGATAATGGCTCGGAATTTTTACTCAGAGAGCTCAGTTCCAATTCCAATTGGGTTCGTTAGGCGCAGATACCCCTGGGAAAGCTATGATTCTACCTCGTATCATCTAGATATAGGTTAAATCGTAAGATTTATGTCACTAAATCATTATCTCCAAAAAAACAAAAACAAATTCTTACAATCTAAAAATATTTCCTAGTTTTAAATAACCTATAGATAAGCAGCAGAAAACGAATCAATCAATAAAAAATTCAATGTGTCATGTCAACTGAAGATCGTTGATTATGGCTCTTCACTACTTCCTATCCTTTCTAGGGCTTGTTTTTTTACTACGTTTCGCATTCATTCTCCCGCTATTCATTTGGACATTTCCAATTATTAGCTCGCTTCTTGGGTTTTCCCTCCTGTTAAGGACCATAGGCTCTATCTTCTTAAAACTGAGAGTTAGTCCTTTCTTCAACCAACCAAACTATTATTTATTAGTAAATTATATTATCCGAATATAGGTTTAAAGAAAAATAAAAACAGACATTTTTCCCACTCGTGTACACATTTTAATGAAAGCAGTGAAATATTCAAGAGAAAGCTACTTGTCTCTAATTTAGCGAGACGAAAAGAAAAAATAAAAGATGCATTTATTTGTCCAGCTGTTGGTGACTGGAACCTTTAACGTCGACCACTTCACGCGTTTTATTTTATTTATTTTATTTTTATTTAAGCAGGCTTCTGCATTCGATTTGTTGCTATGTGGTAGTTGGGAGGAGGTTTTTAAGAGAGCTCTGCAGTCAGCGGAGGTGGCATTTGGTGTTTTTGAAGACACGCATTGGTGCCTGAGTGGGCTGATCAAATTTTCACATTGTATTAGTACGTGATAAAAACTGTATATATATATATATATATATATATATATATATATATATATATATATATATATATATATATATAATATACGTATATATATATACGTATATATATATATATATATATACGTGATAAAATTTATATATATATATATATATATATATATATATATATATATATATATATATATATGCATGATAAAATTGTATATATATATATACACACACATATATATATATATATTAATGTGATAATATACGTACATATATACGTATATATATATATACGTGATAAAAATTTATATATATATATATATATATATATACGTATATATATATATATACGTATATATATATATATGCGTGATAAAAATTGTACATATATATATAAACTTGATAATATATAAATATATATATATATATATATATATATATATATATCTATATTTCTGAGATGAGGTATTATGTGCACTATTTACATTATTCGGACTATTGTCCTTATCTTTGTCGCTATATTTATTACAACGTTTCGGCCTTTCACTATCTGTGTATATTTCTGAGATGAGGTATTATGTACACTATTTACATTATTCGAACTATTGTCCTCATCTTTGTTGCCGTATTTACTACATTTCGGCCTTTCACTATCTGTGTATATTTCTGAGATGAGGTATTATGTACATCATTTGCATTATTCAGACTATTGTCCTCATCTTTGTTGCCATATTTATGACAACGTTTCGGCCGTTGTATGCTCCGACCCTCTTCAGATTGTTGAACTGAACCCTTTATTTCGCTCACTGCGGTAGACTGTTCTAGTCATTGGTGAAATTAAAGTTATCTCCTACGTCGCTCTCTCCCGTCAAGACGTGGGAGATCATAGCTCTCACAACTTCTTATTATTTGTAACCCGTAGATTTAGGCTGACAAGGGATTATCTCAAACACAGTTCATTTTGTACGTCTTTATTATGAATTAGTCTGAGTGTCTTAGGAATGTGGCCTTGTGCCAATCTACCTTAATTTGATATATATATATATATATATATATATATATATATATATATATATATATATATGATTTTATTCTTGCTTAATATAAAGTACTTTTTCTTGCATCGATTCATTCTACCTTTTTTTTGACGCAATTCTACAACAAATAAAAACGAACAAGTACCGGAAGCGGAAATCGGCCGACAGCCATGATATTGAATGACCGGATACCACCATACAGCCCAACACAATTCTCTTCCCTTTCCATCCCTATTACTACTACTACTACTACTACTACTACTACTACATTTGTTGTTGTTGTTATTAACGCTTCTTAAATTTTCTCTCCTGTTCCTTTTAGCTTTGTTATTGTTTTTTTTTTTTTTGTTTGTTTTTGTTTTGTTTTTTCTTGCTCTTCTAAACATCTGCCGATTGACTGCGCCGGTCACTTCGACTCCGGCTAGAATGAATTCTTCCTCGAGAATAACCAGGAATTCTTGGTGTATGGACAATAAATGAAGAAAGAAAGAGAAGGAAATAAAAGAGAAGGAAAAGAGACGAAAATGGTAAGAAAGAAAATATCAACAGAATGAGACAAATAGGAAATTAAAGAAGATATTCAAATAAAAAAAAACATGAAAAGGAAATAGTGGGAGAGGAAAAAGAAAGAGAGAGAGAGAGAGAGAAAGAGAGAGAGAGAAATTTAAGATGTAGAAAAGACAACAAAAGCGTGAAAGAGAATGAAAAACAAAAGAAAGAGATAAGAAAGGACGAGAAGAAATACAGGGAAGGAATATTGAGTGAAGCATAAAGAAAAGAAGGAAAGACAGAGCGAATTGAAAGAAAGAATGAAAGAAAGAAAGAAAGAAAGAAAATAAATAAATAGATATAGACGAGAGAAGGAAGCACATGAAAGCCGAGATCGGAAGAATAAAATAAAAGTAAGGAAAGCAAAGAAAGAAACGAAAAATAGATCGTAAAAGGTAAGTTAGAAAAGAAAGAATCAAAGAAAGGAAAATAAATAATAACTTTAGAAAGGATAGTCAGAATGAAAGAAACAAATGATAGAAGAAATAAAAATAGCAACAAAAAAAAAAATGGAGAACGAAGGGAGGTAATTTTAAAAAGAAGAAAAGGAAGTAATAAAAGAAACGAAAAATATTTAAAGAAAGGAGAAAAATAGAAGAAATAAAAATGAATTGGAAGAAACAATGGTAGAATACAAGGAATGAAAAAAATAAGGAAGGGAAGGTTAAGAATAAATAAAATAAGATTGAGATGAAGCAATGGAAGGAAAGAAAGGAAGGACTTGAAAGACGGAAATGAAAAAAAAAAGCGAAAGACAAAGACATTAAAGAAAGAATGGAAAAGTTAAAAGGCATATTAAGAAAAAAAAAAAAAAAAAAAAAAGCAAAGGCATAATAAAAATGAAAGAAACAAATATTCGGTTGGTGCATAATTATCAGGCGTTTTTTAAACAATAGATATAATGATAATGCCTGATAATTATGCACCAAGCCAAATAATAAGGAAAGGCAGAACGAAGAAAAACAAAGAAGAAATGAAGAAAATGGAAACGACGGAATGATTAGAAACAAAAAAAAAAAAAAAAAAAAACAGGAGACATGAAGAAGAAAGAAGAAAAAGAAATGAAGAATGGAAGAAAGGAAGGTTGGAAAGGAGAAAAGGAAATAAATTAATCTTAGAATGAAAAATTGAAAGAAAGAAAGAAAGAAAGAAACAAACAAATAGAGATAATAAAAAAAAATGAAAACAAAGAAAATAAGAAAAATTGCAAAAATAAAAGAAATTAAAAAAAAGTGACGTAAGGAAAGAAAGAAGGAAAAGAAATCTACTGAAAAACAGAAAGAGAAGAACGGAAAAAAAAAAAAAATGAGGGTTAGAATGAAAAAAAAACGGAAAATTGGGAATAATAAAGGATAGAAAGATAGAAAGGATTGAATGAAGGAAATCAAAGAAAAAGATGAAAAGAAATTTTTACAAAATAAATAAAAGAAAAAAAATAAATATAAAATATATAAAAATATATAAATATAAAATAGAAATATATAAAATATATATATAAATGAATAAAAATATATATATAAATAAATAAATATAAAAATAAATAGAAATATATATATAAATAAATAGAATATATATATATATAATAAATAAATATATATATATAAAAAAATAATATATATATAAATAAATAAAAAGTATATAAAAATAAATAGAAATATATAAATAAATAAAAGAAATATATAGAAATATATTAAAATAAAATAGAAATACATAAAATATATATATAAATAAATGAAAATATATATAAATAAATAAATAAATAAATAGAAATATATAAAAATAAATAAAAATATATAAATACATATATAAATAAATAAATATATATATAAATAAATATATAAAATAAATAGAAAATATATATAAATAAATAGAAAATATATATAAATAATATATATATATAAATAAATAAATAAATATATATATAAATAAATAGAAATGTATGTAAAAATAAATAGAAAATATATATATGAATAAATAGAAATAGATAAAATTATATGTATAAATAAAATAGAAATATAAAACATATAAATAAATAAAATATATATATAAATAAATATAAAAATAAATAGAAATATATATATAAATAAATAGAAATATATATATATATAAATAAATAACATGTAAATATATAAAGATACATGTAAAATATATATATAAATAAATAGAAATTATATAACAATAAATAGAAATATATATATAAATAAATAGGAATATATAAAAATATATATAAATAAAAAATAGAAAAAAAAATATGTATATAAATAAAAAAATATATAAATAAATATATAAATAAACAGACATATATATATAAATAAATAGAAATATATAAAAATATATGTATATATATAAATAAATAAAATATATATATATATAAATAAATCGAAATATATATAAAAATGAATAGAAATATATATATAAATAAATAGAAATATATAAAAATAGATAGATAAATAAAATAGAAATATATAAAATATATATATGAATAGACAAAATATATATGTAAATAGATATATAAATAAATAGAAATATATATATATGAATAAATAGAAATATATATATATATATATATGTATAAATAAATAATATATATATAAATAAATAAATAGAAATGTATATAAAAATAAATAGAAATATATATATAAATAAATAGAAATATATAAAAACATTTAGAAAATAAAATATATATATATATAAATAAATGAAATATATATAAAATAAATATGTAAATAAATAGAAATATATATATAATTAAATAGAAATATATATATATAAATAAACAATATATATATATGTAAATAAAGCATATATATATATATAAATAAATATAAATGTATATAAAAAACAAATAGAAATATATATATAAATAAATAGATATATATAATAATATATATAAATAAAATAGAAATATATAAAATATATATGTAAATCAATAAGATATATATGTAAATAAATATATAAATCAATAGGAATATGTATAAATAAATAGAAATATATATATATATATATATAAATAAATAAATATATATATATAAATAAATCGAAAAGTATATATAATAAATAGAAATATAGGGTTAAATAAATAAAAAATATATAAAATATATATATAAATAAAATAGAAATATAAAATATATATATAAATAAATGAAATATATATAAAAATAAATATATAAATAAATAGAAATATATATATATATAATTAAATAAATATATATAAATATATATATATATATATATATATGTAAATATATAAAGGATATATAAATAAATAGAAATGTATAAAAAAATAGAAAATATATATAAATAAATAGAAATATATAAAAATATATATAAATAAAATAGAAATATATAAAATATATATATAATAAATAAATATATATAGTAAATATATAAATAAATAGATATATATATAAAAAAAAAGAAAAATATATATATATATATATATATATATATAAATAATATATATATATAAATAATTCAAATAGAAATTTATATGTAAATAAATTAAATTGAAATGTATATATATAAATACAGAAAAACATGTAAGAAAAATATATACATAAATAGAAATATAAAATATATAAATAAATAGAAATATATATATAAATAAATAATATATATATATAATTAAATATATAAATAAATAGGTATATATATAAATAAATAGACAATATATATATATATATATATATATATATATATATATAAATTTATATATAAATAAATAGAAATGTAAATAAAAATAAACTGAAAAATATATATAAATAAAAGATTTATATAAATATATATATAAATAAAATAGAAATATATAATATAAATAAATAAATTATATATATAAATAAATATATAAATAAATAAAAATATATATTCAAATAAATAGAAATATATATATATATATATATATAAATAATATATATTTATATAAATAAATAATTTATATATATAAATAATTAGAAATGTATGTAAAAATAAATAGAAATATATATATAAATAAATAGAAATATATAAAATATATATAAATAAAATAGAAATATATAAAATATGTATATAAATAAATAAAACATATATATAAATAAATATATAAAAATGAAATATATATAATTAAATAGAAAAATATATATATATAAATAAATTACATGTAAATATATAAAATACATAAAATATATATATAAATAAATAGAAATTTATATAACAATAAATAGAAATATATATATAAATAAATAGGAATATATAAAAATATATATATAAATAAAATAGAAAAATAAAAATATGTATATATTAACCTATATATATATATATGTAAATAAGTAAAAAAATATATATAAATAAATAGAAATGTATATAAAAATAAATAGAAATACATATATATATAAATAAATAGAAATATATAAAGATATATAAATAAAATAGAAATATATATATATATATATATAAAAATAAATAATATATATATAAATAAATAAATAGAAATATATATAAATAAATGGAAATATATATATATATATATAAATAATATATATATATATATAAATAAATAAAATATATATATAAATAAATAGAAATCTATATAAAATAAATAGAAATATATAAATAAATAGAAATTTATATAAAAATAAATAGAAATATATATATAAATAAATATAAATATATAAATATATATATATAAATAAGATAGAAATATAATATATATACATATATAAACAAAATATATATATAAATAAATATATAAATAAATAGAAATATATATATAAATGAAAAGGAAAATGAAGAAATAAAACCCGGAAGCAAAGATAACGAAAGAATCACAAAAGAAAGAAATAGAACCAAAAGAAGACTGGACAGAAAGGATCAAAGAAAGAAAAACTCGATAGTCTCCATAGAAGAAATGAAAAAAAGAATGTCGGCTTCTTAATTGCCGTGGGTTATAAACCCAGGCGCGTATCTTGTTCTTGTAACGGCATTCACCCGGGGTGGGTTGAGCCGGCTCCAATATATATATATATATTTTCTAAGCATTACGCCCTGAGCAAGGCGTGAAGCCACTAGGATGCAGGGGGTTGCAGAAGATTTGGAGCAAGAGCAGATAGGAGTGATAGAAGAAAGGATGAGGAGAAGGATAGTGGGTAGATCAAGGTAACTGGAGATGTCGATTGACATACATTTGAATAGTTGGAGATTATAGCTCTCAGGGAAACAGTAATTGGGAAGGGTGTTCCACAGGCGAGAGGTGCGAGGTATGAAGCTATTGGAGTAGAAGAGACGGCTACATTTAAAAGTTTCTACACAGTGTAAGGGTGAGAGCGGGATGCCAACCTCGTAGGGCGCTTGAATTCATGGAGTCTGGGAACGAGTGAAAGCAGCTCATCGGAGCAATTACCATGAAAGTATTTGTAGAAAAGACACAGAGAGGCGTCAAAGGACTTGCTGTTGGATATAGTTCGCCTTACCAAGGACGCGGACGAGATTTTGATTGATTTGTTTTTTACGGCTTATCAACCCATGACAGGTTAATCAAAGCCAGAAACTATATTTAGATTGTAAGAATTTTTTTTTTTTTTTACTGCTAAAATTTACTGCTAAAATTTCTACTAATTAACCCATAGTTGGTGGGATAGAAAAGAGGTTGATTCATATCTTTCCCTAGACTACATGTGTGTAAGCCAATATAACGAACCCGACTGGAACTCGAAATCGGCTCTTCGATTTCCAAGGCGTTATCTTTTATATCAGTGACCCAAGCTTACAGCACCTAGTATTCCCAAGCGGTCAGCTTTCTAGGTACTGACCAGTTTCGGCGTTGATTAACTTCAGTGAACGTACTGGAACTGGTGTTTCATCTCGATGTGACCGTAAGCCTCCCGGACAGGAGAAAAGAAATTAAGAGGAAAATAACGCAGAAGATGCGGCATTAAAGTGAGACAAAAAGAAGAAGAAAAAAAGTTGGCGGGGGGCATGAAGAAAATAGCGAAAGAGTTACCGTAGAAGGGGAAATTGAAATGAAAACAGGGAGAAGAGATAGATAGATAGATAGATAGATAGATAGATAGATAGATAGATAGATAGAAGAAAAGAAAGAAAGAAAGAAAGAAAGAAAGAAAGAAAGAAAAGAAAGAAAGAAAGAAAGAAAGATAAATTAGAAAGAAAAGAAAGATAAAGAAAGAAAGAAAGAAAGAAAGGAGGAAAGACAAAAAAAAAAAAAGATAGACACTCAAAGAAAGAAAAAAGAGGAAAACAGAAATCAAAGAAAAGATAAAGGAGGGAAAGAGAAAGTTAGAAACAAAAAGAAAATGGGCGAGGCGAGAGGAGATTTACTGTGTTTTAACGAGATCTCATGACAGAGTACTCGATATATCATTCGAAAGACGAGAACTCAGGTTCCAACGAAGAAAGGCGGAAGCTTCCGTGCGTAAAAAGGCGTCAGGGATTTGGGGAATGTTAATCTAGAACCCCACACTGAATCACAGTCATATATATATATATATATATATATATATATGCGTGCACACACACATACATCAAAGAAACGTAACGTCGAACAAACTCAAGCATATGTTTCAACATACAAGAACAATCCAGAACTATTTACAGAAATTACAAAAAAATCTAGACCTACTTAGCAAGAATGACAAACTGAAAAATATACTAAAAACAACCAAAATAATTAAAAGCAAACCCCAATCTAAAAACCTAAAACACATACTAAACCCATCCAAATTTAACCAACACACAATACAGGGATCGCAAAATGCAACAAAAAATGTGGGGTTTGTGACATCATTATAGAAGGAAACTCCTACACTTTTGAAAACAACAAAACGACATTCATAATAAATAAAAATTTAAACTGCAACTACAAAAATGTGATTTATGCACTCAAATGCACAAAATGCAAGAAGTCATATATAGGTATCAGCCAAAAACTAAACAACAGGGCCTCCCTCGACAAAAGCAACATAAAATTACTAGACAACAGAAAACTCTTTGTATCACAACACATCTATAAATGTAACCGGGATGAATTTAAAATTATGCCAATATACCAAACAGACAATTATTCTTACCTACAAATACAAGAAAAAAATTCATAAACAAATTTAAACCAGCACTAAATCGATCATAACCCCACACGCAAAAGCACACAACATGCACACATGATGGCCAAATACAGTGGTCAAACCACTCGCATGCATGCACACACGCTCACACGTGGGTATATGTGGAGCACGAATACGTGTACGCATATTGGTAAAAACAATAGACTGCTCACAGGCACGCGCGCAAAACCTGCACAACAGTGTGTGAGTGTGTGTATATGTATATGTGTGTGTATGTGTGCATACTAATTTTTATGATAAGACAGTATGTATGTATAGAGAGGGATTGCGCATGTTCATGCGCGTACTGATTTATATATATATATATATATATATATATATATATATATGCACATATTGACAAAAACAAAACTGCTTCTGGGCACGCATGTGAACCAGACACAACATAGGATGTGTGGTGGGGGGTGCGTCTTTGAGTGTATGTGTATGTTTGTGTGTATGTGTATGTATATGTGTACATATGTGAATACTAATTCCTTATAATAAGACAGTATGTATGTATGGAGAGGGAATATAAGTATGCGTACGCATGCTGACAAAAACACAAAAAAACGGACTAGATCTAAGAACACACAGGGGTCATTAAATATAGGAATAGAGAGATCTTTTTTACCCTTCCTCGGACCAATATTGTTTTATTACCCTTCACGCAGAACTCTTTCAGTGCCAGTTCAAGAAAGACATTTGGGTCACTAACGCACAAAAAAGAGAATGTCTAATATCGAGAAAATTTAACATCGAAAAACATAAGAAAAATTAATTTCTTTTAATAATATATGGAAATATCCACTCTTTGCCTGATGAAGAGCAAGAGTGGGCATTACTTCAACTTAGAACTAAATACATTCTTATTTTTTTATAGTAGAGTTCAATAATAGTGTTATAAAATACTCGGAGAATTCTAATAAGACATCTTTAATCATTTCAAAGCTTAATCGAATAATTGGACAATTTTGCTGTTACACCCGTCAATGTGGCATGGACTATATTGTTCAATAATTACAGGAATGTCACACTTATTATCCGAAAGTTGCATGTTGGATCAGTTATTTTAATTTCGATTATAGGTGCAGTTTAATTTATAATTACATGAATCATTCATGCAAAAAACAAATATAGAGGTTAATGATTTAAATGGCGAGAATACATCTTCGCAAACAATTTCAATAAGGTACACTAACCCCGAACCTGTATATGAATGATATGATCCCTGTTTATAAATTCCAGTTGCATAAGGTCTTTTTGAGTTTTTACAAGCTTTCGTCTGTTCCTACAGACATCCTCAGGTATAAAAAATTTGTTCTTGTTTTTACTTCTCAGTAATAAGAGGACAACGAAAATAGAGATGTAATCCGAAAAAAAATGCTGAGAAATGTGTTATTGTTTTGGAACGTGCGGTCGCAACGCTGAGTTTGAATTTTAAATTTTAAGGTTGTGCGTTTTTGTACAAATATAGTAATAAGAGATTCTTTTTTACTGGTAGGTTTTCCGTCAATGTGGCAAAAAATATATTGTTCAATAATTACAGGAGAAACTTATTTCGGAAAGTTGCACGTTGGATCAGTTATTTTAATTTCGATTATAGGTGCAGTTTAATTTATAATTACATGAATCATTCATACATAAAACAAATATAGAGGTTAATGATTTAAATGGCGAGAATACATCTTCAAACAATTTCAATAATATTCAGAAGTAAAAAAAAAACAAGAACAAAATCTATTTCCATACCTGATGATGTCTGAAATGACGAAATTGTAAAAACTAAAAAGACCTTATTTAACTGAATTTATAAACATGGATCATATCATTATATACAGGTTCGGGGTTAATGTACCTTATCCCAAGGGGATGCTGAAAAGAGTGGTTACAAAATAATAAAGAGAAGTGTTTGGGAAAAGGATAAAAAGAAGGACGGGGATCAAGGTCAAGGCATCAGAAGATGTCGACATTACATTTGAATATTGAAGATTATAGCGATCAGGGAAGCAAGTGAGGAAGGGAGTTTTCGCCCATGCAAAATCCATACCACTAGCACGCAAGGGGTTACAGAGAATGTAAGTAAGAGTAAAGAGCAGTGTTTGGGAAAAGGATAAAGCGATGGACGGAGATCAAGGTCAAGGCGTCAGAAGATATCCATTGACATTACATTTGAATATTTGAAGATTATAGCTATCAGGGATGCAAGTAAGAAGAAAGGAGTTCTACTGATGGGAAGTGCGATTGAAGCTTTTTGGAATAGAAGAGACGGTTACATTTAACTGTTTCGACAGTATTTGGGACCGAGATGCCAACCTAGTAGCACGTTTAAATTCATGCAGTTTGGGAACCAGGTAGCTCGTCGAAGCAGTTGCCGTGAAAATAGTTGTAGAAAGACAGAGGAAACGACGCCAGGTCTGTGAGAACGGGATGCCAGAACAGGACCATCCACATTGCATATCTGTCTCTGGATTTTCTTTAGGATGTTGAAAAGCGGGGCACCAGACCATATATGACAGCAGTATTCCACGCAAGGGCGAATGGTTGACTTGTAAAAGATGATATTGAGGAACTAATAGGAAACTATTTTATTGTCATCATCATCTTTATTGTCATATTCACGACGTTTCGGCCGTTGTACCCTCCGGTCTTCTTCAGGAACTGTCTATATTTCTGAGATGAAATATTGTTTCTATTTACACTGTTCGATTATTATATATAATATGGGATTAAAGATATATAATAATCGGAGTTGTGCCACCAATTTAACGTCGACTCTTTTACTATGCGTAGTCGTGCTCATCTTTTCTTACATTTGAAGGCATCTATGTCAGGTCCAGACAGCCTTCCCTCTGTAAACAGAGGGAATGCCTGTTAGGGCTTGACGTTTTTTCAATCTGATTGTTCCACCTTTAATACATTACATG